CTGAGGTCCAATTTTGTGAAGAACCGTGCCCCGTGCAATGACTCCGTCATAGTCCCAATCAGCGGAAGTGGATAACTGTATTTAACAGTCACCTGATTGAGACCGCGGTAGTCAATACACGGACGCAGACCTCCATCCTTCTTCTTCACAAAAAAGAAGCTCGAGGACGCGGGAGAAGTAGAGGTCCGTATGTATCCCTGTCTCAGAGACTCGGCAATGTAAGTTTCCATTGCCCTTTTCTCCTCCTGTGACAAAGGATACACATGGCTCCGCGGAAGCGCGGCTCCTGTCTGGAGGTCTATCGCACAATCCCCCTGTCTATGAGGTGGCAATCGTGCCGCTCGGGTTTTACTAAACACGAGTGCCAAATCCTCATACTCAGGAGGAATGTGCAGTGCGGACATCTGGTTCGGACTTTCCACCGAGGTCGCCCCTACGGAAACACCCAGACATAACCCCTCACACTGAGCAGACCACCCTTTAAGAGCCTTCTCTCGCCACGAAATAGTAGGATCATGGGTAGTCAACCAGGGAAGCCCCAGTACCACCGGATACGCAGGAGAGTCAATCAGATAGAGTTGAATCATCTCCTCATGACCCCCCTGCGTCATCATCCTAAGTGGCGCTGTGAGCTCCCCAATCCACCCAGATCCTAACGGACGACTATCTAAGGCATGTACGGGGAAAGGCTTATCGACTGGAAGGAGGGGAATCCCTAACTTAACACAGAATTTACGATCTATAAAATTCCCAGCTGCGCCTGAATCGACTAGCGCCTTATGCTGGGAACGAGGTGCAACCTGTGGAAAACAAACAGGTAAAGTAAAGTGGACGACAGAAAGCTCTGGGTAAGTAGGGCGCCTACTCACCTGGGAGAACTCCCCACTGTATGGCCTGCCATCTCCCTCCTCAGGGAACCCTCCCCAGCACCTAGCCGCGGTGTGCCCTCCGCGGCCACACTTGGTGCAGGAGACTGCTCCCCTCGGGTTCCTTCCTCTTTTCGTTCTAGCGCCAGCCCCTCCGAGCTCCATCGGACTCGGCTCGGAGGTGCTGGAGGGTGGAATGGGAGGCCCCCATCTGGAACGCCCGCGGGTCGTGAGTAGGTTGTCCAGACGAATAGCCATGTCCACAAGCTGGTCAAAAGTTAAAGTAGCGTCCCTACACGCTAACTCCCTGCGGACGTCCTCCCTAAGGCTACACCTAAAATGGTCTATGAGGGCCCTCTCATTCCACCCCGCGTCAGCCGCTAGAGTCCGGAACTCCAGTGCGAATTCTTGAGCGCTCCTCATCCCCTGTCGGAGGTGGAATAGACGTTCCCCCCGCCGCTCTTCCCTCTGGTGGATGGTCAAAGACCGCACGAAAGCGGCGGGAGAACTCCGCATAGGTGACTGTGGCGGAGTCTATTCCCCTCCATTCGGCGTTGGCCCACTCCAACGCCTTGCCGGTGAGACAGGAGATGAGGGCGGAAACGCTCTCGTATCCCGAGGGCACCGGGTGTATAGTGGCCAGGTAGAGCTCCACTTGCAAAAGGAAACCCTGACACCCGGCAGCGGAGCCGTCGTACGCCCTCGGGAGCGAGAGCCGAATCCCACTGGGTTCCGGTGGATGAGTAGGCAGGTTCTCTGGTGGTGATGGAGCGACCGGTGGGGCTGTGGGAACACCGCTGATCTCCCAGCGCCGAAGAGTGTCCATGACGCCCTCCAACGCGTGCCCGATCCGATTGATGCGATGTTCCTGTCCCTGGAGACGGTCCTCCACGCTGTCGACTTGTGCTCCTGCTGATTCCATCGAAGTGGTGTGTAATTCTGTCAGGGCCGTGTAGAAATGGTGTGGTGTGGAATCAAGTGCAGAAGCAGATTGATAGTCCAATAATCTTTACTGGAAAGTGCGAGGCAATAATCCAAAACAGCCAGAGGCAAAACGCACACAGGCGTAAAATACAAGCGCGCATAAACAGGCGCGCAAAACTCTTCTCAACCGAGAAGTAAGCAATACCGTAGAGGCGTACCAAACACAGGTACGAAATGACACCTAACACGAAACAATTACACACAACACTACACTAACAACAAGGAAACTAAATAGGGTGCTTAATTAGACATAACACAAGACAGGTGTGGCTAACAGACAAAACTAGTCAAACAGAAAACATAGAGCGGTGGCAGCTAGTACTCCGGAGACGACGACCGGCGAAACCTGCCCGAACAAGGAGGAGGAGCTGCCTCGGCCGAAACCGTGACACTGATCTAGTGAGATATACATGGCGGAAATTATTACTGAAACAGGATACAAGTGGAAAATATAAAGATCCAGTCCATTTAAATAATTGGAGGCCCCTTACACTTCAGTGTTGTGATGCAAAAATTCTAGCAAAATGTATAGCGCATACAATTAAAAAGGTATTGTCGGATATTATTCATTCTAATCAGACAGGTTTTTTACATGGAAGATACATTGGAGATAATATAAGGCAAGTATTGGAAACAATAGAACACTATGGAAAATATGGGAAACCAGGCCTGCTATTCATAGCAGACTTTGAAAAGGCATTTGATAAAGTACGACTGGGGTTTATATACAAATGCCTGGAGCATTTCAATTTTGGAGAATCTCTTATAAAATGGGTCAAAATCATGTATAGTAACCCTAGGTGTAAAATAGTAAATAATGGCTATTTCTCAGAAAGTTTTAAACTGTCAAGAGGAGTGAAACAAGGTTGTCCACTATCAGCATATCTATTTATTGTGGCCATCGAGATGTTAGCTATTAAAATCAGATCCAATAATAATATCAGAGGATTAGAAATCCAGGGCTTAAAAACAAAGGTGTCATTGTACGCTGATGATTCATGTTTTCTTTTAAATCCACAACTAGAATCCCTCCACAGCCTCATAGAGGATATAGATACATTTTCTAACCTATCTGGATTACAACCAAATTATGACAAATGTACTATATTACGTATTGGATCACTAAAAAATACAATTTTTACATTACCATGTAGTTTACCAATAAAATGGTCTGATGGTGATGTGGATATACTCGGAATACATATCCCAAAGGAAGTAAATGATCTCACTTCAATACATTTTAATAGAAAGTTAGCAAAAATAGATAAGATCTTGCTACCATGGAAAGGTAAATACATGTCAATTTGTGGAAAAATCACCCTGATTAACTCTTTAGTATTATCCCAGTTTATCTATTTGCTTATGGTCTTGCCTACGCCTAGCGAACAGTTTTTTAAATTATATGAGAAAAAAACATTCAATTTTATTTGGAACGGCAAGCCAGACAAAATTAAAAGGGCCTATTTATATAATGAATACGAATTCGGAGGACAGAAATTATTAAATATTAAAGCATTAGACCTATCACTAAAAGCTTCAGTCATACAAAAGTTATACTTAAATCCGAACTGGTTCTCAAGCAAATTAGTAAGAATGTCTCACCCAATGTTCAAGAATGTTCTAAAACAAGCCATAGAAAGTTGGTTGCAATTTCAATTTAATCCTCCAGAAACGACAAAACAAATAATGCAACAAATATTGTGGTTAAATTCAAATATACTAATTGACAAAAAAACTTAATTTTTTGACAGAATGTTTAAAAAAGGTATAATATTCATAAATGATATCATCGGTAGGACTGGTGGAGTTATGTCGCACATACAGCTAACAAAAACATATGGAAATGTCTGCTCTACCCAAAATTACAACCAAATAATTGCAGCCTTACCGCAAAAGTGGAAGAGGAAAGTGGAACGGGGAGAAAGTAAGGAACTTGTCGGTTGGCCTTGCATTAAAGAACATAATTGGTTAAGGAAAACTGTGATAAATAAAACAGTATATCAGTTTCACTTAAGGACCAAAGGATTGACAGCCGTCCCATATAAATTGCAAAATAGTTGGGAAGAGATTTTTGACGTACCGATCCCATGGCATAGTGTTTATGAACTGACACGCAAAACGACACCGCAAAACGAATCTTTCAATTTAAATTATTATATAAAATTCCTGCTACCAATAGAATGTTATTTATATGGGGGATACAATCTTCCCAGCTCTGCAGATTTTGCTGTGAAGAGACAGAATCATTAGATCATTTGTTTTGGTTCTGTCCATTTGTAGCTTGTTTTTGGACACAGGTCCAGGAATGGCTAAAGGATTGCAATATTTACCTGAAGCTAACCTTGCAGATAGCATTACTGGGTGATCTGAAAAGTCATAGTCAATCGATCAATAATATAATAATACTTTTAGCAAAAATGTTTATTTTTAATTCACAATCTGTAGAAGCAATGAGAATAGAAAGGTTCAGAACTTTTGTAAAACATCACAGTACAGTTGAAATATATATGGCAAATAGAAATCCTATATGGATGGTGTTAAAAGATAGATGGGAGGTATTGAATGGAGTTGAAGGATGGGACTAATAACAAATAACAATAAATAATAACAAGATAACTAATAATGTAAGCATACTGTGTCCATAATAAGTATATAGATTGTATGTTGGGAGCTTTTGGGAAAGAGCACAGTTAGAAAGATATGGCATATAGAAGCAAACCGGATGGACATCATGAAAAATAATCGGAGAGGTTGAGAGTAGAAGAAGTTCAGGAGCAAAAACTAATAAAATAGAATTATTGTAAAATTGAATGTGTTCATAAGGTGTAGATAGTAAGTAGAGGCCTGGGAATTGTTGTTCACTAATTTACCTCAAGTAGGGAAAGGATGGTGGGGTTGAAAAGTAATAAAGGGGAGTATATATATAAAAAACATGGGGGATTGGAAGTGATGCAGACAATTACATTGATGGAAGTTACAATCTATCTGCAATATTAAGCTGATCTACCCCCACAAAAACAAAGAAAGAAAGAAAGAAAGAAAGAAGAGAGAGAAAGAAAGAAAGAAGAGAGAGAGAAAGATAGACAAGTTGAATATGTTTCTATTAAACTACTCTTTAAACCCTTTAAAATCTATTGTTTTACATTTTAGAGGTCTCCTGAAAACTTTGAACCAGAAATCTACGATCGTGAGGGCAAGGGAGCATACAGGTAACTCAGTATTATTTTACTTGTTTTCTCATGAATAGTTTGTAAGGACAATGCCTCATTTTTCAAATCATATTCAGGGAATGCAATTAAAATGTCATTCTTCATCATTGTTTGTTCTACAGGTTCCAGTGCCCCAGTGCAGGTCTGTTCCAGTGCAGTATAACAGGCCTGGTGTTTAGGATGGAGGGAGAGGGAGAGGTGCTCTATAGGACAGTCCCCTGGAACAGGAGGCTTCTAGCCAAGAGAGGCAAGAGACCTGCAGGACCCCTGTTCAACATTGACTGCTCTCAGAAGTCTGTCTGTCAACTACGCCTCCCACACTGTGAGATTCATTCTGGTAAGTAATACATTTCCAGGGAGGTTATAGACTATGTATTCTTAATCACCATCAGTAGCATCACTACTCCACTACTTGGTTGTTTTTGTCATCTGAACAGAAGACTAATGTTCTCTTTCTCTCCTAGAGGGTGGATGTGACTTCCTGTCTGTAGCCCATGTGACTGATGATGACACTATGGAGTTTCTCCATCTCCATGAGACAACAGAAACTCATGTCATATTAAACATCAATGGATTCAGCAAATATGGCATCACCAAGGATAAGAAAGCTCCTGTCTCTCCTATCCGTGGTCTGGTGCTACTATTTTACCAACTCCCAGATGATAAAAATAATTCCACCCTAAATGTGTTGTTGCTGCCCAGAAATGTTGACATTGATGAGGTAAGTAGATTAGAGTTGTCAAACTCTTCTTTCGTTAGAATTCTATCAAACTCGTACTGTTGAACTCACCTTTTGCCTTATTTTGGGGTGTAACGTAACACTAAATGGTGAATCCAGACCAGGGGGGTCTCTCGCTCGCCAACCCAACATCTTAACCATTACATCAAGATGATACCCTCAAGGTCCGAGGGCGACATTTGGGCTTCCATGTTTCAGGCAGGGCTTACTGTCACGACTTCCTCCTAAGCTACTTCCTCTCCTTGTTCGGGCAGGCTTCGGCGTTCGCCGTCACCAGCCTTCTAGCCACTGCCTCTCCTCATCTCATCATTCCATTTGTTTTGTCTTGTTTATTACACACACCTGGTTTCAATTCCCCTCATCAGTACCTGTATAAGTGTTTCCTCTGCCCCCTTGTCTTTGTGTGTGATTGTTTATTGTGGAGGTTATATGAGCTCGGTGGAGCGCCTTGTACCTTGTATCGACATGTATACAGAATAAACCTTTATTCTGTGATTTACCCTCCTGTGCCTGACTCCGTCCAAATCACACACCACAGCTACCTCATCATGACAGTATGCTCCAATCCATTTTCAATCCTCTCAAGGTGTGTGAGAAAAGGAGGAGAAGGAATGGAGACAGAGAAAAATACATTGAAATAAATCCTAACTGTAGACTAACCCCGGACCAAGAATACACCCTCTCCACCGATCTTACAGATGAACATCACATAGATCCAAAGGTAGGCTAATATATATATGACATGAGCTAGAGAGAGAGAGGAAATGTGTTAACACATGTAAATTATTTTTGTTATGCTACCTTGATAAGTAATAGAAATCACATACAATTCTGTTTGACTTGATACTTATGCATTTTTTTCCAGGAAGCAGAGTTTGTGGATTATGATTCCTATACAAACTACATGCCAACATTCCTGTTGCGTTTAAAAACTGTTGTTGAAGAAGTGAATCTTCTTCTGGAAGAACATGACGGTCCTGAAAATGAATGTGTATGGAACCGCCTTGTTTCACTACCAGGTAACTGAAATTCAGAGAGAGTAGGAGTTACTATAGAACTAGTAGTAATAGTAGCATTTTACATTTACATTTTACATTAGTAGCAATCATCATAATAGTATGGTAGTAGTGCTGTTGTTGATTTAATCTAATTATGATACAATTGATTATTTCACCATATAAATGTAGTACATCACCTTCTCTTTTAATCCACAGCCTCACCAACAGAAGTGAAGTCTACAGGTAACTGGTCTCATCAAACCTTATACTTGTCTTAGTCTCATCAACTCACAATTCAATTGGGAACAACTCATATTCTCCTAATGGTTCTGTGTTTTAAAATAGATTGTGTGTGCGCCATTTGATTTGACCTGCGGTTTAACCTCATAAACTGCACCATAAACTTAAACGACTATATTCTTTATGGTCTGTCACTTATTTTGTTAAAGGTCCTGCACAGTCAAAATCATGTTTTTCATGTAATGTGATGATATTCGGATTAAATCAGATCAAAGTAGGATGACCAAAGTATGAAAAATGACTGTTGCTTCTGCATTGATAAAGTTATCATAAAGTTACTCATCCTCTCCCCCATGTCAACCACTTGGATTCAGGAGCTGGGATTATTAAAGGATTTTTGTGACATTATTTTCTTACCTAATTTAAATAAGTACCGCCTTGTAACCAACATCGCAGAAGGCGTATTCGCAGAGGGGTGTGGTTTACATAGCAGTGTGTTCGATGAATAGGGGAAACCTGTAATTATATATTCTAAGGCAAATATACTTATAGGTTTCCGCTTTCATCTGTGTCTGGTGTTAGCTAGTTACTGGCTAGCTAGGTCTTTCACCAGCATGGAACAAAAATGGAGGAAGGTTAGCCCAAAACTCAGACACAATTGTCATGTCATTACATCAAGAGACAAACATGAGATTCATACAAACTTCTTGACATCATTGATAGTCATGATATATGACATATTCATTAATTAACATTGTCTGACTGAGTGGACAAAACATTATGAACACCTGCTCTTTCCTGACATAGACTGACCAGGTGAATCCAGGTGAAAGCTATGATCCCTTATTGATGTAACTTGTTAAATCCACTTCAATCAGTGTAGATGAAGGGGAGGGGATGGGTTAAATAATGATTTTTAAGGCTTGAGACAATTCAGACATGGATTGTGTATGTGTGCCATTCAGAGGGTGAATGGCCAAGACAAAATATTTAAATGCCTTTGAACAAGATATAGTAGTAGGTGCCAGGCGCACCGGTTTTTGTCAAGATCTGCAACGCTGCTGGGTTTCCACCACCCAAATGACATCCAGTCAACTTGACACAACTGTGTGAAGCATTTGAGTCAACATGGGCCAGCCTCCCTGTGGAACGCTTTCGAAACCTTGTAGAGTCCATGCCCTGACGAATAGAGGCTGTTCTGAGGGCAAAAGGGGGGGTGTAACTCAATATTAGGAAGGTGTTCTTAATGTTTTGTACACTCAGTGTGTGTATATATATAACTTACCCAGACCTCACCCTGTAAAGTTTCAACAAAAATTGTCCAAGATGATCTATCTAGCTAGTGTCAATGTTGCGTCAATTCAAATCTGGTATCAGGAACAAAAGAGGTCAACACGACTTCTAAGGTATACTAGTTATTTTAATTAATGCAAAAACCTTCAATGGTAAATATGATGTTTCGTATATACGGGTTCTCTGATATGCCTCGCAGGACACTCCAGACAACTAACTCCTTGTTCCAGAAAACAATACCCAAATACACTGACAGAGAAAGTTTCCCACTTCTCTGCTGGCCAATTAGAGTAAAGACTTGAGTAGTTTAAACTTTCTCAGCCAATACGTTGATGCAGGGGGTTGGTCTCATCTCTTCGGCGCCCTTTGTTACACACTCCAAGCAGGCACAAGATTATCATAACAACCTGTCATAGTGAGAAGAGCCAGCTCCCTTAGACATCATTCCCATGTCAAAGGAAGACTCATAGATCACAATGAACCATTATAGTCTTGTATTTGAAGACACAATCCTTATCTTCTCTTCACATCAATCACAGCCTTGCCAGGTGTCACAGCCTACATTAGCCCAGTCAAGAATGCATTCTTCCTAAGTTAGTCATCCCATTAGTTTAGGAGAATAATAAATCCCTAATAGTCCCCCTTTTCACACCACATAAGGTGTGATTCAAAAATAAGAAAACACAGATCGTCATTCATTATAATACAATACAAACAAAAAATCACACTTTTATTAATAGGCCATAATGCTACTAAAAATAAAACCCTCAGTCCATCTGTACCCAACTTGCAAATTATTACGAGTCATCAAAGAACATCAAACCATATAACACAGGATTAATAGAACACAAAACATAGAACTATTAAAACATAAAATACAAACAGAGAATTACATTTTGACTCCCTCCTGACACCCTCTAGGGTGTGATTCCAAAAATGTGAAAGGGAAAATTTAAGATTCCCTCTGTTGACACCATTTATGGTGTCACTCCAAATAACCGTTTGAACAGAATATAATCGACCCTGAGTATAACAGGATATAGAAATTAAATCACATCAAAAAATTAGTAAACAAAAAATAATTCTAACCCTCTATTTCTCCCCTACACCTAACATGTACTGGGTTGGCTACCAGCCACCCAGGAATCCTTTACTCTCACCTCAGGAGGAATAAACAATCACAGTGGTTAGTAAAAACACAAGGTAATAAATGAGCAAAAACTGAAATTAAATGCGTGTATATATTTTACTAGGCAAACCATGGATCATCCAACTTGGTCTCAGAGTCAGTGGCAGAGTCACCCGCAACTTCCTGGGCTGGCACCAACGGCATCACTCCTGACACCCGCACCACTCCTACCACTGACTTCCTGAGACAGGGAATGATACAAGCAGCACAACACATCAACAATAAAAACACAATTACTAGGGTCAGAAATCCAGTAACCACCATAGTAGAATACTTACCGAACCAGTCACTTAACCAGGAGAACAGCCCACCACTCCCCACTCCAGCCATGCTCTTCATTTCTGCTGACAACTTATCCAGGCCAACTAGGGCCTTTGTGATACTCCCGTCCGGGCTAGTATTGTTAGGAATAAACGTACAGCATTGTTCCCCAAACATCTTACACACACCCCCTTGGTTAGCAAGCAACATGTCAAGTGCTAGTCTATTTTGCCTAGCCACCCTAGAGGTGGCCTCTAGTTGTTCCGACATTCCAGTCAGGGCAGTGCGTGTATAGTTAACAAATCGCTGTTGGTTATAATAGATGTAATTTATCCAAGATCGCTGTTTAGCAGCATCTATGGCAGGTCCTATGATTGGCAACAAATGCCACAACCCATCATTCCTGTTGAGTGCCTGGAACTGTAATGGTACTCCCACAGGCACCCCCAACAGGTTAGAGTGGATCTCCTCTTCTGTTGACCATGGGGCACTACGTCTCCCCCGCCTCATTCTCTCTCTGTCTGGGGCTAGCTGGGCGATGCCCAAAAGTTGGTCTGAGGAAACATCAATAATGGTCAGAGGTATAATCAAACTGGCTAATGCACACGTGCCCTGCCAGTCCCCCTTTAGAATCGGGGTAAGTATTCTATTTGGTCCACAGATCCACCACACATCAGCCACCCCTTTTGTCTGGGTTTTACCCTCTACTGGCCAAGTGCTGTTCATGGTTACATTCATAGCACAGTCCCCTGGTGGTAGCCTACCATAGTTAACACCCTTACCTGTTCCAGTAATACAACTGTAATTACCTCCATAAGCCTGAACTCCTGCAGGTGCCTTTTGTGGGAGAACCTCATGGAAAATCATACTTAGAGTTTTGCACAGGGTGGTGGTTGGCAGTGAATGGTAAAACTCTTCCAATATGCACTGCCATCCTGCCCCGTCTCCTAAAGCGAATGGGTGGGTTGCCAAACCAGGTCTTGCATGCCCACAGATAACACAATTCTGCCTAACCAGTGTCCTAGCCGTATACCTCATGTATGCCAACCACATATTTTCTTTCCCTTCATAACCAGTTTCTGTCCCCAATTGGTCGCTGTCCGTTATATCCCTAACATTAATCACCCGAACGGGGTTTGGTACCTTAGTGGATTGAAGCTGAGCTGGTCCTGGAGTGGTGATGTGGTTCAACTGGGTCTGTCTCTCCCCAGCTGCAGGTTTGGGTGTGACCACGATGGTGAACACACCCATGGTGTCTGGTCCGGATCGTACTGCTGCTAAGGTGTACACACCTGCGTCTGTAAGTTTAATGTCTTGGATGGTTAGTAGGATTTCATCACCTTTACATGCACCCCCTTTTGACCCCTGCACACCCCTTATCATTGAAAACCTAGCTGCCTTAGAAGCATCTCCTAATACATATGGATAGCCTCTACGCCATTCCCAGAAGGTGCCAACATTTGTAATCATAAAATCCCAATATGGACACCACTTTCCCCCACACAGATAAGTACCTCTCTTTAACACATGGGGATTCATTTTGTTACAGTTTTCCTTCTGGTTCCAATTGCAACCAGTGTCCCCAATTCCACTAGCCCTATTCCTCCATGACCAGATCTTACATGGTTCTAGGGACATCACTTGAGATTCCCCTTCCTGTAAGGTAATGACTATATTATGATACTGACTGGATGTCACTGTTCCCCATAGGGCCAGCCCCGCTAATAACCATAACATCCTCCCCGTCTGCAGCCAAGTCCTGTTGTACTTGATCTAGAGTTCTTCCTGGAACTATATCTTTGGCACAATGTGTTCTGTGGTACCATACGTCCTTCTTACTCGTGTTTACCCTCAGCGAGTGACTTGATACCTCTTTCACCTGAAAAGGCCCTTCCCACCTTGGCTCCGTCCACTTCCTGGAATGCACCTTCACTCTCACCCAATCTCCCACCAGGATGTCTCTGTTGTCGTCTGTGGTTTCAACAGCAGGAGTGCGCACTTCCACCACCTGTTTAGACAATCTTTCAACAAGAGAAATTAGTGCCTGCATGTAGTCTGTATATCTGATTTTTGCAATATCTAGCCTAGGCATACTAAGATTATCTGCTGGTGGCCCTGGCATTCTGCGTCCTGTCATTAGCTCATGTGGAGTCAAGTGGGTATCAGACCCAGGTGAATTTCTCATTGACATTAGAGCGAGGGGTAGGGCATCTACCCATTTCAGTTTAGTTCCGGCCATGATTTTGGCCATTTTTCGTTTCAGCGTTTGGTTAGCTCTTTCTACGAGTCCCTGCGATTGGGGGTGGTATACTGACCCAAACTTGTGGGTGATTCCTAGGGCCTGCTCTACCTCCCTTAGGTGTTTATTCTTGAAATGGGTACCGTTGTCAGAACGGACCATTCGCGGGACCCCGAACCTTGGAATGAGGTCTCGCCTCAGCCACTTTATTACGGCCTTTGCGTCTTCTCTTGCTGTGGGGATGGCTTCCACCCATCTGGTGAATCTGTCCACCATTACTAACAGGTACCTTTTTCCTTCCACTTTGTTGTCCTGTCCCATGTCCGTGAAATCTATGCATATGTCTTGAAATGGTGCATCAGGTATTGGGAAGCTGCCTATCACTGCTCCAAGTGACACTTTGTTGTTGTATTGTTTGCACACTTCACAGCTCTCTGATGTCTCTCTTGCCATGTCCAACATATGTGGATGCCACCATGCTTTCTCAACTGATTTTGCAACCCTTTTCCATCCTCCATGAGCCTTCTCATGCTCTTCCCTTAAAATTGATCTGAGGAGTTTTGCAGGTCCCACTGTTTTTCCTGTGTGAGATCTCCAAATCCCATGATGGTCTTGCCTTGCTCCCTGTCTGCTCCATACGTTCTGTTCGTAGGCGCCTGCTGCTTCTTGCAACTGTCTTACTGTGTCTGTCGTCAGCTCCTCCTGTCCTTGAGTGGCTCGTTGCACCATCTGCTGGGCATTGTATCCTCCTGCATCTTTTGCTGCTTGATCAGCCCGATCATTTCCTTCCCGCACTCTGGTGCTTTCTCTGCTGTGACCTTTGCACTTCATTATTGCCAGTCGTTTGGGAAGCTGGATTGCATCAATTAACTTCTGTACTTCAATCTTGTGTTTGATGGGCTCATTTGAGCTGGTCACAAATCCTCTCCTCATCCACTGTGGTCCATCAATGTGTGCAATCCCATGTGCATAGGCAGAGTCCGTGTAGATGTCCACATTCTTTCCTTCACTTAGTTGTAGAGCTCTCCTCAACGCCCTAAGTTCAGCTAGCTGTGCTGAGGCTTCATTGGGACCAAGTTTCTCTGCTTCCATTACTTCATGTCCTCCTTCTGTGTCTTGTTTCACCACAGCATAGGCAGCAGTGTTTCCTTCCTTTGGGTCCTTTGACCTGTAGCAGCATCCATCAGTGAACAGGGTGATTTTGTTCCCCTCCAAGGGTGAGTTTTGCAAGTCCATTCGGACTTTGATCTGTTTGGCTGCTCTATCCTCACAGACATGTGGTTCTCCAAGACCCATACCATCGGTCATATTGGTTGCTGTTGTCACATATGTAATGTGTTTTGCAGTGATGGCCTTTGTTATGCTGGATTTTCTTTTACTGGACAGTGTGAAAAGTTTGGAGCCTATAAAAGCGGTCACCCCATGATCTGTATTGATTTCAAGTGGATGTCTCATCACAATGTGGGCTGTTTTACCTATAGCTTTTGCAATGGCAGCCATGTGTCTGGCACAGTCAGTCTGTCCTGTTTCAATGTTGTCCAGTTTCGCGCTATAGTAGTGTAACACTCTTCTTTCCCCCTTTTGTTTCTGATACAGGATGGAATGTACATAACCATCCTGCTCAGAAACATCCAAACAGAATGGCGTGGTGTAATCGGGTAAGGACAGTGCTTCAGCCTGTGCCAGCGTCTGTTTGAGTTGGATTAAAGCTGCCTCTGCTTCTGGTGTCCACTTAAGGACTGCTGTGAGGTTTCTGTTTCCTGCTTCCCTCAAGATTGCCCGCAGTGGTTCCACTTTAAGACAGTATTCTGGCACGTGCGTTCTGCTATATCCAGTAAGGCCAAGAAATGACAAAAGGTGTTGTACAGTAGTAGGTTTGGGATGTTCCAAGATGGAGGTTCTCTGAGCCACCGACACAGCTTGTCCCTTCCCTGACAGCACTCTTCCCAGGAACTGGACACTTCTCCGACAGCACTGCACTTTCTCTTTCTTTACCTTGTATCCCTTTTTGGCCACCAATAGGAGAAGGGACTTGGTGGCCTGCAAACAAGACTCAGCAGTGGGTGCTGCCAACAGAAGATCATCAACGTATTGGAGTAGTGTCACCCCCTCAGGTAATGTTAGTTCTTCCAAGTGGCTCTTCAGGATAGCGTTGAAGATTCCCGGGGAATCACGGTAGCCTTGTGGAAGTCGGGAATACGTAAATTGCTGCCCTCTATAGGTAAATGTAAAAAGTGGTTGGGACTCTGGATGTAATGGGATGCAGAAAAATGCATTGGCGAGATCCACTACTGTAAACCAATCTTGGGTGGGTGAAATATTCTGTAAGGCCAGATATGGGTCTGGTACAGGTCGAACATCTGGTACAGTCACCTCGTTGATTGGTCTGAAGTCCTGCACCATCCTCCATTTCCCAGTGTCACCTTTCTTTACTGGAAGGATGGGTGTATTCCACACAGAACATGTTGGATATATAACCTGTCCTTTTTGGAGTCCTGATATCGTAGGCTCAATACCTCTCGTCTTCTCTTCACTGAGAGGGTATTGAGATTTGTGAACTGGGATAGTGTGTTCACTTTCTTTTCGAATGGAGACAACCACTGGTTCTACATCAACCAGCCCCACATCTTCAGCACTTGTTGTCCACAGTTCCTCTGGTAGTTGATTGAAAATGTTAGGAGTATCCGGATGATCAGTCATCTCCCTGCCATGGTAACGTGATCTCCTCACAACCTCTGGTTTCGACACATCATCCACATTGAGTTTAATTCTCCATACTTGATTTCCCTCAAGGAATGCGCTTTCCACTTTGTAACAAGAGGTTTTGTTCCACCGTAGGCAACTTGCTGCCTTTACCGCTGGTCCCAGAGATCTTGCCTCATATCCAAATCCCACGAGAAGGGTAACATGCGGCACAGAATCATTAGGAAGAGCAAACCATTTGTCTGTGAGCACCACGTCTCCATCCATGACCATGCAGCTGGTAGCCACCCCTTCTTTGAGTATGTACATATGATTGCTGGTCACAATCGGGCGCCTATCGTCCATTTCCTCCTCCCAGGCTTCATCATATGCTTCATCCAAGTCCCTGGTATAGTTCATTGTCATGTGCGGAGGGTCCTCAGGTGGATAGTATGCATTTAAGGTCTGTATCCAGGACTTCCATAGTTGGAACTCTCTGCATACTCGGGGAGCATCAGGGTCAGTATCCATGAGCTTCAGCCAGTAAACATATGCTTCCTCCTCATCCTCAGTTAGGTGTGTTCCCACATATAGCATGTGAGGGGGGTCGGAGAGTTTTTTCATGATTACTGGCATGAGATCATCTATGGGCGTGATGGATGCATGTAAACCCTCCTGGTTACAATAGATACTACATCCCAGTTTGGAAAGCAGGTCCCTCCCCATGAGCCCCATTGAGCATTCCGGGTTGTATAGAAACTGATGGGTAACCTGTTGGTCATCCCATACAACCTCCAATGGAACTGTGTATGGCTTTCTCATAATAGCCCCAGAAACCCCAGAGAAAGCTTGTGTTTTTGTAGTGAGTTGATATGTTGCTTGTACAGAAGACCATGTACATCCTGTATCAATCAGCATATTATGTTGTCTTCCTCCAATCAAACATGTCACTATCGGCTCTGAACCTGGTGGGAAAGTGTAAATGTTGGTGGCGGGATCCTTATGGGTTTCTGGGCAGCTTCATTGGTAATTGTGTTCATTACCCAGCCATGACATGCTGGGCAGGAAGGCAGCGTTAGGCACTGCTGGGTCTTGTTTTTGGTTCTGCTGTTGTGGTGGTTGGTGCTGCTGGACTGGCATTCCTCCTCCTTGCCAGTTTCCCCATCCTTGTTGGTATCTCGGTACTTGTCTTCTGGACTGTCCCATGTAACCCCTCCCTCTTTGTTGTCCCTGTCTTGGGAGATGACAGTGTCTTGCCAGGTGTCCATGCATCCCACAGTTAAAACACCCTTGTTCAGCGTATCTAGGGGTGTATCCCTGTTGTCGTGGTGGTATATAGGATTGCTGGTATGCGGGTGCACCATATCCAGGAGGACCAGAAGGTGCCATCATTCCCGTCATTGCCTGTATTACAGCAGTAACTGCAGCAGTAGTATCATTTCCGGGTGCAGGAGTGGTAGGATTAGATGTTGGGGTACTGGTTACCACCATTTGTTTTCCTGGCTTGTCCTCTGTCAATTGCTTCTTCAGAACCTTTTTCTGAAGTTGTTTGAGTTCATCCTCTTCCTTTCGCTTACCCTCTCTCCATCGTTCCACATGGTGTTGTGCTATCTCGGTAAATTCCGGAATTGATTTTGCGGTGATTGCCACAACTTTTTCACATTCAGCTCGAGCCTGATCCGGGAGTCCCCCCAAGCAGTTTGTCAGGAAGAGGTGTTTCATGGTGTCTTTTCCTGGTTCTTCATTCCATGCTTGCCTCCAGAGGCACTTAGCCCTCTTCATATATGCAGGTATGGTTTCATCGTCATTCAATATCAGTGTTCTCATCAGTTCGGGTCTGGCCTGGGTAGGATACTTCCTCCTTATGACATCCCATATGTCACTGCGGTGGGTGTCAAATCTTGTAGCCGAACCCACTTGCCCTCTCAGTCCCCCAGAGGTCATTATCTCTCTGCATTCCTGGTCTCCCATACACCTGTTCATTACAGTAACCATATCACCTATGGTGAGTTCATCCGCTGCTGTGAGACTCTCAAAAGACTTCACCCATCTGTGTCCAGATTCTTCAGGTTGGGGGAGACTGTCCACCAGTGTCTGTATGTCTATGTGGGACCATGGCTTATAAACTGAGACCCCCCCTGGGGTCTCCCTCAACGGGTACTGCCCCCCTTTGTGTCCTTCTCTGGAATGGGCCCTGGCTCGGGTATGGTATGCGGGTCCACCATTATTGTCCCATATGTCTCCATCAAAAGCTCCACATATGAGTTTTTGTTGTTTCCCTCTTTCCTCCTCACTCTCTTCCCCGTCTCTGAGATCAATACAATGTCCCCTTACTGGTGAGCGTTCACTTTCACTTCCGTTCTTGTTCGCTTCGAGCTCCATTTTTAACTTTTTCAATTGTGCTTCCTGGTGTCGTACTTCCTCTTTTATCATCTTCAACTCTTCCAGTCGTTCTTCATCTCTCTGTCTCTCAAGTCTCTCTCTCCTTTCCCCTTCTACAGCATCCCCGTTTCGTTGCCACTCCCCCTGGGCTAGACCACCCCTTATGTTTCCTCCAGTTAGGCTCATTCTCTCTTCCTTCTCACTCTCACTGTCTCCGTCAATACTCCCTCCTCCTTCTGTTCCGCATCTGTTCCCCGTCTCTCCATCAATTCTACTCAGTTCAAACACTCCTTTTTCTAGCGCTCTTGCAGCTTTTAAAAGTACGTTCACTTCTCCCCTTCTGTCAGTCATATCGCTCTTTCTGACCCACATTCCTTCTTCCCCCTCATCTGTCCTTTGTTGATAGTGGACTTTTCCCGCTATATCCAGAACCGGAGCCATTGTTTTTGGGTGGTCGTCATATGGTGGTGGCGCTGTTGGTAAGGGTGGGTATAAACGGGTCCTTTCCTTTTGTCCTGTTTTCTCCGCATACAGTTTCTTCAATTTTCCAAGCATTGTTAGGCCAATCCTCTCCTTTAGTTTTGCTTTCTCCATTGCGTCTTTAATTTTGCCACTGCGGGGCTCTCCTTCACTTTTCCATTCGCCTTCTGCTTTCTGGGTTTTCCGTTTTAACGTCTCCAGTATTCTCCCTGGCTCGCCTTCTACGGGCACTCCATCGGGGGACAGTATACAGCCATCGTTTATCCATTCTCTATAAAGTTTTTCTGCCCTCCTGCTCCACTCTTTTCCATCTTTTCCTCCGTTTGTTTCAAGTGTGGATTTTAGAGCCTTCAATATTCTTTCCGCTTCTCCGCTGGTAGTCATGTTTTTTCCGTTTTAATTTGTAATATTCGTCCGTTATTTAGTTATTTAAGGTACATCTATTTATTATTCCCACCTAATTAGTCAAACTCGGCGCCAGGTTATTTCAGCCTTAAATGTTTGAAAGCAGTATTCTTTCAGTGCCACACATCAAATGGTAAATTGAAGGAATAAACCCAAGTGTTTCAATTATTTAACCAATGTGGCGTTACATCAAATTAAACGCCACACATCAATTGGTAACTTGAACGAATAAACCCACGTTTTACAATTATTTAACCAATGTGGCGATACATCAAATTAAACGCCACACATCAATTGGTAACTTGAACGAATAAACCCACGTTTTACAATTATTTAACCAATGTGGCGATACATCAAATTAAACGCCACACATCAATTGGTAACTTGAACGAATAAACCCACGTTTTACAATTATTTAACCAATGTGGCGATACATCAAATTAAACGCCACACATCAATTGGTAACTTGAACGAATAAACCCACGTTTTACAATTATTTAACCAATGTGGCGATACATCAAATTAAACGCCACACATCAATTCAATTTACTTATTTAAAACCAGTATTAGCTATGTCAAACATCAAATGATATATTTCAAATATATCAGTTCAAACGCTTTAGTTCAGTCACACTCATTCTTAACTTTTCATTTCATGTTTTCGATTGTTACTGACGGGTTATATGGTTTGAGTAACCACAAATCCAACATTTATTCCCAAATTATACCGTTTGGTCAGCCACAATCGTCTTTTGATTCCCAATTTGTTTTCTATCAAGGTATACAGGTTTATCATTCACACTTTCATGCATCCGACAACACTCGCACTGTCTAACTTTTATAGTACCTCTTATGGGTGTTTTTTGTTAACGCACACTTTAAACTTTAGTTCCTAATTGCATTTCTCATTATTTACTGTTTTAAAATATTCTTTGTATTCACAGTCAAAAATGGTACACAGTTAAACGTAGTATACAGTTATCACCCAGCAAAAATAGTGCACAGTTATCGCCCTCACTCACAATACACAGTCATAATCCTATCATACAGTCAAATATGTCACACAGTCATCAATTACACCCATGTTCCACACACAATCTATTTGGGCACACAGCCTCTTCTATTTTATTCAAAACACTGTGCTGAACCTAGCCGCAACCCTTAGTTACGGACCTTGCCAGTCACCAGTATTACAGCCGCGTCTATTTTATTCAAAACACTGTGCTGAACCTAGCCGCAACCCTTAGTTACGGACCTTGCCAGTCACCAGTATTACAGCCGCGTCTATTTTATTCAAAACACTGTGCTGAACCTAGCCGCAACCCTTAGTTACGGACCTTGCCAGTCACCAGTATTACAGCCGCGTCTATTTTATTCAAAACACTGTGCTGAACCTAGCCGCAACCCTTAGTTACGGACCTTGCCAGTCACCAGTATTATCTAAAATTTCCCGAACCTTAGCCGTATCCTTGTATTTACGGACCTTGCCGGTGTAATTCTTCGAACCTAGTCGTACTGTCGTAGTTACGAACCTTGTCGATAGCAATTACTTAAGCCAATTATTCCCTGTATCTTCGAACCTAGCCGTACCCTCCGCAGTTACGGACCTTGCCGATAGATGTCAGTATTTTCTCCGAACCTAGCCGTACCCTTGTAGTTACGGACCTTGCCGATAGAACAAATACTCTCTGGTACCATGGTTTTTTAAACATCACATTTAGCAAAGGTTTGCATGTCACAATATTGTGCTTGTCTACTCATAATAGTTTCATAATTTAGTTCACTTACATCAGACAGTTGTTTCACAAAATTAATTTGAATAAAGCCAATTTGCAGATTTTCAGTTATTTAACAATAGGCATCTGCTTACCTTTAATTTTGTCCGGACTTTTTGTGAAACACAGTCCAATGAAAGAGATGACCAATGGGCCGGAAAGTATCCAGCGAAGTCCCTTCTACCAGACCGCGTCGGGGTCACCAATTGTCAATGTTGCGTCAATTCAAATCTGGTATCAGGAACAAAAGAGGTCAACACGACTTCTAAGGTATACTAGTTATTTTAATTAATGCAAAAACCTTCAATGGTAAATATGATGTTTCGTATATACGGGTTCTCTGATATGCCTCGCAGGACACTCCAGACAACTAACTCCTTGTTCCAGAAAACAATACCCAAATACACTGACAGAGAAAGTTTCCCACTTCTCTGCTGGCCAATTAGAGTAAAGACTTGAGTAGTTTAAACTTTCTCAGCCAATACGTTGATGCAGGGGGTTGGTCTCATCTCTTCGGCGCCCTTTGTTACACACTCCAAGCAGGCACAAGATTATCATAACAACCTGTCATAGTGAGAAGAGCCAGCTCCCTTAGACATCATTCCCATGTCAAAGGAAGACTCATAGATCACAATGAACCATTATAGTCTTGTATTTGAAGACACAATCCTTATCTTCTCTTCACATCAATCACAGCCTTGCCAGGTGTCACAGCCTACATTAGCCCAGTCAAGAATGCATTCTTCCTAAGTTAGTCATCCCATTAGTTTAGGAGAATAATAAATCCCTAATACTAGCTTGATAAACAGTGCTGAAAATTCCATTTGGGCTATCTAGCTAAATGATATAGCAACCATTATTTCTATATTGATGCTTTTACAATAACCAAACAGGATAAACAAATAATTTGTGAAGCCATGATATGAGTTGCTTTATGTATCAGCAAATTATCTTGAGATAATCTCATTGCATCACTGCGTCCATGTTGCTTGACATAGGCGGTTTCAAAGAACTGTCAGTCAAGGTGAGCTCCCCAGCCTATCAGCTCCCCGCCCATTTCCGGGTTTTAGGACTACAAGCTAGCGAGCTCTATTGCGGATAAAATGCTGTGCGTGGTGACCTACTGCACATAGAAATAACTTGGCGTAGTGCACATAAAAATTAATTACCATGTACTGAATGAAAAATATAAGTTAAATGGGTTTCCAACGCATTTTCAACTCTACTGATGGTTTTGTCACAAAAACTGTTGCATTATAACAAATGTGCCCACTCTGGTCTTGGCACGTGCGCTCTAGCCAACAGCTAGATACAGTGCAGATAGGATACCTACATTATGAGATTATTATGGATAAGAGCGATATTTCCCGACACAAAAAGATCCCACCATGTCAAATTAACTAATTGTCTGTCTGCATTTATAAACGTGTACCAGCATTTCCTGTTTTATCAGCCCGGTCGTGACTTTTTTCATGCGTCAGGTAATTCATCCGCATGAATTGGTTGGATGGAAACCTTGTTACTCAAAAGCCTATTTTACTGACTCAGAATGACTGTTCGCGACCTTTAACAAGTTATATATTTTTTTATCTACAGCTACACCACAAGGTGGCGCTACAGCAGGTAAATATAATTTCCTGTCTTTCCCGGGAGAGTTAGTTGTGTAAGAGTTCCTTCATGTCTGATTATTGCAGCGAAAACAATCGTGTATCTTTTTTTAGGATCCTAAACACAAGCGAAAGAAAACATGAGTTACTAAAGATAGTGTGCATAGAGTTACTATAGTAACCAAGTGCTCTGATATAGCAATAGAAATACAAATACATTCATTTAGATATATTCACCTCAATAAGGTGCAATCTCCCACTACAGAGACACCCATACTCACCAGCTCTACATAGCCATGGGACAAACTGCTAACAGGAAGTCAGTGTATTGGCACAATCTTCAAAACCATAAACATTTTGAATGTCTTCGATTGCAATTATTAAAGGTAGACTCAGCAAGATGGCATCATCACACACAACAGGGAACTTGTTTACCTACTTAAACATACAAGGAGAATTCAGATCCGTCAGGACTGTTTATTTTAGTTATTATGATGTCACATGTTATAGTTCTCATTGTTTTATGTTTCTGTATCTAGGGACAACAACAAATGTTTCTAATCTGCTGCTGGGCACTCTGACAGAGCTGGTTTCAGAACAGCTGGAGAGATTTCAGTGGCACCTGAGTCAGGGAGTGGAGGATTTTCCTTCAATCCCAAAGAGCCAGTTGGAGAACGCTACCAGACAGGCCACAGTGGATATGATGGTGCAGCGATACCATGACGACGGCACTGTGAAGATCACACTGGAGATCCTGAGGAAGATGGGCCAGAACAAACTGGCTATTGAGTTAAAGGAGAAGTTGACAAATGAATGTCTGAATGTGCAGCCTCAACACAACATGAGTGAATAATGTATTACATTCCCAAGGAGGGGAGAGTAAGGGGGTCACAGTTAACTCCGGGGGTTCTGCGTCATAGGGTGAAACATTAAGAGTTTTTCAAATGCAGATCATGTAATGTTTACAAAGGACATCAAACATTTTCACACCACATGAAAAGTTAAGGATGTCTTATCTAACAAGATAGGCTATCTGCAACATTGTGAAAGTTTAACGGTCTTGAATGAGCCCCAGGTCTCAGGCAAGGTGACATCACTGTGAGGCTACTGTCTACCAGACAACCTACCTGTGTTACTCTGGTACACTGGCTGCAGACTACAAGATCAGGGACTC